ATTTGGCACCATCTACAGCATGTCCTACTCACAACTGTTTGAACTAAAGCAACTGAATTTCTTCAGAAAGCATTATGTAAACAACTGCATAATTTTATATTTAAAATAGCACGTCTGTAGTTCCATGTAGTTCTCAACAGTTAAAAACTGAAGACATTTACAAGCTTCTGTACTATAAGGAGAGTCTTCACTCAACTCTTGGCAGACACAGCAATGAGAACAAAGGTCTTTGTGTTTATTTTGCTGCAAGGCTTTGAAGTGAGCATGGTCTCTACTTCTCCAGCTTTTGAAGAACACTTAGTATATCAACATTAGCATGGGGAAAGCAAGCAAGGCCAATTTTTCTCCATTACTTGACCTTGCCAATTTTAATACTGAAGGCTATTAGGTCCTTTCTTGTTTTGATTAGAGTGATTATTTGAAAAGTTGTGACTCTTACTTTCTAGATAACCTGCAGTCCAACGTAAGCCATGTAGTTATAAATCCCATCCTATCAAACTAAAGAAAACTGGATTTCCAAAAAGTAGCATACATGAAGACACCTATTGTTTTATGTTCTTACAGCCAAACTCCTCAATTATAATTTGATATTAGAAGTTTTAACATCAAGGTACTTGTCTCCCTTATCCTGCTATAAATTCCACCAGATTATTCACATATCCTTTTACCATCCCAACATAATACTGCTAAAGATGCTTCCCACATCACCTGTATCTTTGATCAAGCCACAAGTTAGTCAAGGGGCAGCACTAGTGCCAGAGGAACACAGACACCAGCCAGCTAAGTGGCACATGCTGAGCAACTAAGCAAACAGCCAAGCACCAGAGGCAACCTGGCCGGCCAGCCAGCCCCTGCCTCCTCACTGCTGGGAAAGCCAAAAGCAATGAGCTGCTTCTTGAACCACATCTCTGACTGTCTCTTGGCTGCTGTTGCTGTTACACCAAAAAGAAAAAAGAACAGCTTTAGGGACAGCATGTAGCCTGTGAGCCATGTGTTGTGCAGGCCTGCTCTGTTATTAGTTAGAGAAGGGGAAAACAGAAAATACATGCTTTGATAAGCTGGAAGCCAGTACTGCTAATGTAGCATATGAAAGCAGATGCTGATTCAGGGAAGAAAAGACACATGAAACTAAACTGCACTACGGAAAAATGCAGACAAATGAGGACAGGAGACCATTAGTCAATAGGAAGATAGTAACAACAGAAGAGGCCAATGGAGGGGGTAATGAAAGGCTGGCTAACAGCAAAGACCTTTGAGGCAGGAGGAATGGAAGGATGAAGCAAAGAGGGTTTTTTCAGAAAGGAAGAAAGAATTAGAGCCATGGCCACTTCAAAAATCCTGCCTCTTCCAAACTGTAACAAGGGTTTTTTTACTCCTTTTTTTTCCAAAGGCAAACTGACCATTGCCATTAATTGTATCTTCGCCACTACTCTAACCCCAATGAGTTGTTCTAGATCTTATAAAATATTCTTCAATAAATACAAATGAAATCTCAGTCAGAAATACCTGCTCTGCAGAAATGCTGACCACTAGTCACCTGCAATATTTATAATCAAAGCACATGCCCTCCCCAATTCATCACAATATCATCCACTTTTACTTTCCTTCCTTTTGCTGCTTATTTAACACTGTAACACAGATTATGCACTGCACACGAAAACATGACTGCAAAATTTGGATATAACTTGGCTTGAGGCAATTTGGCCCCATTAAATATGTGCCATGATAACACCAATATATACAACCACATTCTTTTCAACAAACCTCAGTTTTATTTGCTGCACATGACAAATACATTTTGAAGATTAATTAGGAATAGTGAAGAAGACTCATCTACTAAGTCCCTGATTATTATGTTGGAAGGTGTCTAGTGAATAAAGCATGGACTGCAGAAAGATTATCTCATGACAGAAGAAAATGAGCATTACCCAGAAGAGACTGACTCTATTACTATCTCTATCAGACTGAGGCCTGTTGAGTAACTTGAACCAAGCTTTCTACAGGTGGTCATTAATGCCATTCCTCACCTTCCAGCTGTACAGGTTAATTTCAAAAACTCTGGGGTCTCTAGTTCACTAGCACTGCTGGTGGGAGGTGTTTAATTGCCATCTTTTTTTCTTCCCGTGCCTCTATAAAATGCAAACTACTTTCTTCTTGCATAAAGAAAGCATTCCACAAAGTCAGATACAATACTGGTAACCTGCACAAGAAAGCGCACTGCCAACTAACAATCTTCATGAGAAGGATGTGAACAGCATGCAGGAGTAAGGCATGGAACCGTAAGATGAACACTTAATCAGCTATCAAATGGATGCTCATTAGGCATACATCACAAATCTTGTGTCCTGAATAAGTCCCTTTATAATTTTCCCACTGGAAAAATAATACCATGTTATGAGGAATACAGCTCAATATATAAACTCAAGGCTGTATCAGCAACATAAACTTAACATCTCTTAACATCAACTGCATCTTAGTAGTGTTTTTCTAGCAGTGTGTTTATTTGCATGTTTGTGCAATTTCAGTTTTACAAAACAAGTTGAAAAAACTTCCTCATATTGCATCACTGATGCACCCATGTATGAACTGCACAGATCCATCAGAGGTGACTAACTCACAGATGGAACTGATGTCTTCATCTGCAAAAACAAAACAGAAAAGCTAATGATACATTTTACAGAAGACTTCGGATGTTTCATCAATGGCAGAACACTACATTTCCAGTATCTTTAGTTTGATTCAGGACCTGGAGAGAAATAGGCACACAGATTTATTTTTTTCCTCTTCACCCTACTTTGCATTATACCAACTTATTTCTTTGTCTCAATTTCTGTGCATTTTATTTGTGCAGTTTCAGTCCCCATTCTGTGAGTATCCCACCAATGTCACATCTCAGCTCCAGACCCTTTGCTCAGTCATTCCTGGTTCCTTATTCACTTATCTTCAGCTCACTTTCTCTCAGTCACATCATCTTTTCCCTTATACACCCCCCCTGCTGCAAATAACACAGATATAGCTCTCTTTTTCACTAAATACAGATCCACTTTCATGCTGCTTTGGTCTGAAGTGGAAAAAAAAAGGAAAGATGGAAATGAAGCAGATCTTTTTTCTCAGAGTTCAGGCAAGGCCTAGATTAGGCCAGAGCTGTAACTGCAAGAATGTACTCAAGCTGGAACATGCCACTGCAGACTAGATCTTTGGGAAATTATCTAACATCTAGGAAGTCTCCAGTTGGTCTACATAAACCAGTTTTGCAAAAGTTTAATCAAGTGACAAAATCTGGGCAAATTTTCATAAAGAGAACAAAAGGTACATCCTTGACACAACCATCAATCTATCAGATTCAAAGGCTCTGTTACAAACCATAAAGTATTAGTACTATTTAAAGTAAAAGTCTCTATGATTTTTCCCTTGCCACGTTCTCCAAAGGGCAGAATCACATGAAAAACCACATTCCAAGTAGCTAAACTTTGTCAGTATGGACTTAATTTAGAAGCTGACACACAATCAAAACAGACAGCATTACCAGCTTTACCTATGCAAACAAGAACTTAAATTACATGATTCAAAGGGAAAAAAATAATCAACATAACAATGATTTTTAAACTGTAGTTTAATGCCTGTAAGCACTTTCTCATCACTAATGAAATCCTTCTTCAGAAGTCATTTTCCTTGGCCTGCAATGGGTAAGAGGTACATCAATTTCTTCTATTTCTCAAAGAGAAACACAATGTCTTGACTGTAATCTCACAGGCATTAGTAAAGTATTTAAAAATGCTATAAGCATTCACATTAGATATGTGTCTTATTGTCTTTCTAGAAGAAAGAGTTATAATTAAAGAGTTGTGTTTAGAAAGACACCAGTGTTGTTGTAGAATACAGTTTAAGGATACAAAACAATGACTTTGCACTAAAAGGTTAAAATTACATGATCTCAGCAATACAAAAATTTGTAACTGTACTATAAAACAATAATCTTTTAACTTCCAGCTTCAATACTGGAATACCCCAAACTTTGGGCTCAGAGGTTAAAATTTTTCAGTTTAAATCATGCAGCACTGTCAGTAATAAACATTTCCATAGTTTTGCAATTCTGCTGAATGAAAAAAGCTAGACTTCTTGAATACATGCATTAAAAAAAAAAGGGAACACACCTAATTATTTCCCACCTTGTGCTGAGTTATTTTTCAATCCATAATACAGCCACAATTGAGATCAAAGTAAGCTCATAAGGAGAGTTTCCTTGATACAAAAGAAGAGAGTTGTTGTCAGGACTCAGTGTGAACTGTTTGACTTGTGCAGAAACTGGTTTGTTAAACCTTTGAGTACAGGGAGAGACCATCTTCTTTTCAGCTTTCAAAAAGCATAACAGTTTGAGGGAGTTACTATAGTACTTCATGTGCTAATTCAATAGATACTCATTTAGATTTTAAATATGACAGCCTTTTGCTGTAAATTTTGCATACTACCTACACAATATATTCCACCTCATGGGAGTTCCTACACCAACATCTACAGAACACTATAAATACAAGAAAACATTTCAGAAGATTTGAATGTGAATTCAGTATCACTGAACACCCAAGAAACTAAGTTCCCAAATTCTGAAATTTTTGCCTAATAATTCACAGGTCTGACAGTTTGTTTTGCTTCGATGACTTCTGATCTTTGAAATGTTTCAAAAATCTAATTTTTACATATTTAGTGAAAGGCTATAAAAATCAGCTATGAGCCAAAAAAGAAATCTAGGAATACAGAGTCAATATACGTGGCAAAGCCCAACACAATAGCTCAGATTAAGTACCAATAAAACCAGACTAATTTTAAAGCAATGATATTGTTTCATTTCTATTTGCAAAATTAAAGTGGGATACACTGCATGTCCTACACAATGACACATATCAGAAGGCTCCATTTTTCCCCACCTCTTGAACAGGTTTCCCTTCTTGGTGTAATGCCAGACAGAACTAATGAAACAGCATATAATTCACTGCTATTACCTGCATCATGGGATACTTTGTTTCAGCGGGACTTCCAAATCCATTAACTCCAATGAAGCTGGTGCTAAAGTAGGAATCTGTGAGGCTAGCATCAGCTAACCCACCGCCATCAATACCAGGAACTAAAAGAAAAAAGAAAAAAAAAAGAAAAAAAAAGTTTCATTAAAAAGTTAGTTTATTGGGGTTTATTTGCTAATATCTCTTACATATTTTTCTTGGCGGGGTGTAGAATATGAAAAAGTTTGGTAACACTATTTCAAACCTATCTTCTCAGCAAAGTGACTAAAAACAGTGCACAGAATGAAAAAGAAATTTTATGAAAGAAGTTGCTAAAAGACAGCATATGCAACATGAAGTTACAGTACAAACGCAGGGAAAAGTAAAAAGCTTTGACAGAAATAATGAGGAATCTGAACTTGAGAAACAAGAATAGCACGGCAAGTAATGATATCAGAAAGAAAATAAATCAACTAAAACAACCTAGAAGGCAAGCTTATTTTAAGGAAACCTACATTCTTGCATACATATCTTGGAAACATATCTGTCGAGTAGAGATTTTAACTCGATATACTGGTTCTTTTAAAGTGTAACACACAGAAAATGTACATTTGAAAATAACTCAAGTCCTTTCACATGAAGCACAAGTATTTTGGAAAGCCCTCTTAAGAGCATAATATTTTTATTATCTCATACTTCATAAAGTGGCAACGATTTTATGACATGTGGTCAAAAAACTCTTTTGAACTGAAAGCAAGCATGAAGGATGTAAGAAGAATTTCATTCCCTGCCTAGAAACAAGGGCCTTGATGTACAAGCACAGTACTTTAACCACCAATAGATTAATTCAATACTATGAGACTACAGAGAAAAACAAGAAGCAGTCATAATTAGCACAAAACACCCAAGTAGGTATTACTTCAATAACAAAAAAAGAGTTTACAAGCTGCAGTTCAAATTAAGCTTCCACAAAGACACCCACAGCAAGTTATGAAGACACTAATCAGTATGACCAGGCCACTGCAAGCCAACAGGCATGAGTAATTGGTAGCTCCAAGGTAGGAAGGCACACATCCAACTCAGAAGAACATCCTGTACCAAACTATCCCATTTGAACTTCTGGGAGGACTCACAGCCAGCCGGTGACACCCGGAAACAACTTCCTGATCCTAAACCTCAAAGGAAATAAAACACAACTTCGTGGCAGAGCTAAAGGAATGCAGATTATAACATATATATATGTTATATATGATCATATAAATGCAAATTTCATCAGAATGGGAGTTTTCCCTCCAAGAGAGACTACATAACCTGGTGAGCCATTTCCATGCTGTAGGCACAGGAAACAACAAAAATAGAGCCAGATGAAATCATAGGAGGTGCTGGAAGAGGAGAATAATTAGCAGCACCCGTACTAGAGCCAGCTGGAAACACTGCCCAGCTGCACTCCCCAAGCCTGGAGCTGAATGGACCAGCCAACCAGGGGCAACACCAACAGCACTTCAAGCAAAGATCTATGTGGAGAGAGATCAAATAAACCAAATATTTCAGTTACAACACAAATCAGCTTTGCAAGCAAAAAAGATTCCTAAAGTACTGCTGCCAAACCTAGAACATTCTTTGTATACTCTGCAGGTTTGAGGAAGACATCTAAGGACCTTTAAAGATGCTAATTACTAATTAATTGAAACATGATTTTTTTTTCCAGTTTTAAAATTTAGCTAACAGAATAGGAAAATAAAACTCCCTCCACTATCCCTAGATCCTCCTTCATAATTTCAAAGGAGCAGCCATATAGAAAGTTCAGAAATCCTCATGCTATGGTCCTAAAAAATACAAAGACTTTTTGGATTTGTCTTTTAAACACCTGTCCTTCTTTTTGCCTGCCTTCACTTGGGAAATTTACATTCAAAAGCCTAGGAAAAGTATTTCATCATTGAACTATCATATCAGGGAAAATATTAATGTCTGCAGTAATCCCAATTACTGTCTCATCCTACCTGCTACAGTCAGTCCCTAATTTGTACTGCGGGGGTTAGCATTTTAACACAGCTGTTTTCTGGCATTATGTATAATACTAGGACTTGGGTTCATACAAGAAAAAGAAAAAATAGCAAACTCGTGTTTAATTATAAGTAGTTTTAGTCTAGTTTGCCCATACATTATTCAGGGTTTACACTGTGGGGTTTTTTATTTTTAAAATGCATTTCCAATACAGCTTTCTCTGCCTGCATTTCAGCCATTATCAAAAACTGCTGCAGTTTTTATGCTACATCTTGACAGTAAAAGACCAAGAAAAACTGATTAATTTTCAGGAACAACCGTCATTTCAAGGTACACTATATCATTTCAGCAGTATATCTACTATTTCATTCTACACTTCTGTCAAACTCCAGAGTTTATTCAATTTTTAACAAATTAGCAATTCCTTCTGATTGCACCATCAGCTTTACAAATCCTTCAGCCACTGCTGAAGAATTAAGAAACTGCTGATTCCTTCCACTTCTCCCACTGCTTCTCACTGTGCTAGAGTCAACATTAGAACGCACATACCTTGATTTCCCTGCTGGACAGACGCAGCTAAATGCACAAAATCCTTAAATGGGAAAGAGGCAAGTGAAAGCTTTCAAGCAGTGAGGCATGCAAAGAGCCCCCTCTGCATGAAGAAACCCCAGAACTGACCTCCAAAAATTCAAGACAGCTGGTACAGCTGCAGTTACCCCAAACAGCACTGGAGCCAGTGCAAATAGCCCTGCAAATGCACAAATACAGCACCAGCTTCTCTGTTCCTAGTCTGCCTGAAGCATCCTCAGCAACAGGCAACTCAAGCTGCAAGCAAGAGCAGACTTCAGGGAGCAACCCTAGAGCTGAGCAAGACTGAGGAAGCTGCTGGGAATCACGAAGTTAATCTTTGACACTGCTCAAATGCTGCTGCCTTTCCACTGCTAGTATTTGCTAGGCTAGCCAATCCAAACCACTTAAAAGCTGCTCAGAGCTACAATTTAGGCTATTAGCACACCAATATCTAACTGGGCACTCCAGATAGTAAAAGCTACTCCAGAACATTTTATCTAGCTGTATGAAGATTCTCTCTCTACTGAAGTGCAAATATTTGGTCTCGCTGATCAGCCTCCTTGTGAGGCTACCACAAATTGCGGTACTCCAGTGCTGATCCACCATCATACCACTGAACTCTACTGGTGTTTCACCTACTGCACTAACCATAGCAATTTCAGGGTGGTTTTCAACTATGAGGCTTTCTGTTGTCCTCTTCTAAATGATCTGAAAACACACCTTTAGCTAAGGGGCCAAGACCACAAGAAAACATACTCCACAGGAACAATCAAAATAAAACCATCAGAAGATAAGGTAACTGGAGCGGAGAGCAGCTTTCTTGGCAGTAGCTCATATTTAGAACAGAATGCTCTAGAATGGCAAGTACAACTACTGCCTTCAAGAGAAAACTCAACACTAGCTTCTTTAAACTAACTTCTGTGTAGTAATAACTAAGAAAATTAAGACTAGCAAAGATGCAGTTTACATAGGTATGAAGAAAAAATTAACTCCTTTATTTCCTATAAAGGCCCAAGAAGTATTCACTACACACTCCATTTCTGTTCAAAGAGGGGACATTCAGCTGTTACAGTGATGAAAGCTCAGCAAATACCTAAACCGCCAAGGCAGTTTTACTGCATTTGGCACCCGGCCTTCTCCATAAGAAGTAGAAGGCTTTTATCCTCCTTCTACCAAACATTTGGCAAATCATAAATTCTCACTTGCTTCTGGAAGACCACAGCAGTTGAGAACATGAAAAAAGAAAAGTGATTTATCATGAGTGATCCATAGAAGAAGGTCTTCAGTAGTGGGTCCACTTCACAACACAAGCAGTGTGGTATTAAAAAAACCAGAAGTCCAAAACTGGAAAGAGACAGAAGATCTTACTCCTTATGAAGTTTTTATTATCATGTGTTTCTTAATTTATATCAGACCGTGCATTCGATTTGTCTGTTCAGATCTCTCCTACATAACTACTGTGAGCATACACTTTCAAACACACTGTCTGTAGTGCTATTAGAATGACAAATGGAAAACAACTTCTGATGTTTATGTCTTTTCTCTTTCAAAGCATTTATTATAACTTCAGGTAAGTAATTTTAGACAATTTTAGGGAAATCTTGAATTGGCTTTTTTTGTCAAAGGAACATGCCTTCCCATTTTGTAACTGTACTATCCATGCATTGAAGTTTTCATTTCCAATACTTTTCCTTGAAAAGTAGCAACAACTTTCTTATAAAAGTAGAAAGGTTGACTAGGCATGTCTGAGAAGAAAAGATGGATGCGCAAGAGAACAGCTAGGAATCCACTGGGGGGAAAAAATGATAACAAGTTATATAAGCACATATGTGAAAGCTAGAAGGAATTTCTAAATTCCATCAATATTAAAGCCAGAAGTTACATCCTGGCAATTCTGCAAAGAAATTAAATAAAACATCTTGAGAAATTCAGAAGATGTTTTCTACTTTCATACACACATTAACTAATATTTTTTTGCTTGGTGAGTAACACTGCAGCTTAATGTGACAGCTGCAATTAAAAATAAATATCTTCTTATATAATACTTCTCCCACAGAATTTTAGCAGAAAGCAGGCTTCCCGTCAGATGCAGGCACCAAAAAGAAAAAAAAAAAAAACAAAAACAAAACACAACAAACCACAACATATAGTTATTTTTGCCTTACTTATTATATAGACATTTTTCAAGAACAAAGGATCCCATCACAGCTTAAGTGCTTGAGTACTACTGTGATGAACTCAACACATGCTTCAACAGAATCAGTGGGTTTTGGTTGGTTTTAGTTTAATGCTCACCTTGTCTAATACTAACACTATCTGAAAAGATGGTGTTTCTGATGTTTTCATTCTAACATTTTACTAACCAGTAAACAAATACTGTAATATACTACACTGCTTTTCTGAACTCAGTATCAGCACTGATCACCTCAGAAACTGTTCTTAAGATAAAAAAAAAGGATCCTTTACAGTAATGTGATATATTGACCCAAAAAATGAACTGGCTAAAGTAAGATCATAACAGATTTTTTGACATAATTTCAAAACA